TACCTTATCTTTATTGTAAAACCGACCTCATTTGGATTATGAGAAGAATAAATGAAACAGTGTATTTGATGCACTCAGCACAGAAGTTTTGGATGCACATAATTTTTTAAAGTTACTTTCTAGAATTGAATGGAAATTGCAAACTTATGGTGATCTGCTCCAATCTCCAACTCTCCAGAGATTTCTTCAGCGATATGAACTCAGCTTTTACTCTGTACACTCCCAGTTAAAGAAATGTAGATTTAAAAGTTGAAGGATTTGGGGTTAGGCATAAAACATTTTATAAATCTAAGACACTATTATATTATTAGACCACAAGTACAGTTTGATAGTTCACTCAGACATTTATAAGACTTGACCTAGCTCTAAATGCCTTCTGCAGATCCAATCTACATCCATTTATAGCTAAGTGAGTACTTAGCCCATGATAACCCAGTGTCCTCTATCCCAGTCAAGAACAGATGGCCTCCTTTAGAGCAATTTCTTTTCATTGAATAATTTTGGACAATGGCTTTTGATTCATTTAACTAACTCATAATTCATGCATGTATTAATTCATACACATAGTGAATAGATATGCAACTAATACATAAGAAACACTACCCAGGCCTATTCAAAATGCTGAGTGGGATACAAAATAGCATAATATTTATTCTCAAGAGAGACTAGACATACAAAGAGAAAGTAATAATATAAATGAAAAATAATATTATAAAATAGAAAGTATAAGGATCAAACTAGATATCATGGCCACAAATTAATGCTGAGCTCAGGGGAGAAAGGATGGCTGTGGGCTGGAATGGGCAAGGAAAGCTTCACACAGGAGGTGGCTGCTGAGCTGAGACTTAGAGTTTGAGTATAAGGTGAACCTGTAGAGATGAAAGTATGTCAGGGAAGCACCATGATGTGAGCAAAATCAAGGAGGTACAGGATATGTGGGATGTTAGAGGCAATGAGTAGACTGTGGTTGGCCCATGTGGCTGGTGTATAGTGGCATGTGGGAAAGTATTAGGGGATAGTTTTACAAAAATAAGTTCAAGCGAAAGATTTTATTCTGCAAGTATAAGGAATGTGGCAGAGATTGCTAGTTGACCCCTATACCCATTTTCCCCTCCTTCTGTTGTTACAGAACGTCATGGTTTGACCAGACACATGAGTACCTAGAACAAAGACTATTTCCCACCTGCCCTTAGAGCCATGAGATGTGAATGGAAGCTACGTGTGCTTCTGGATGTGCCCTTACAGGGAAGAGGCGTGACTCCCCACCTTTCCCTTTCCCCTCTCTCCAGTCTGCTGCCTAAAATATGTAAGTAGAGGGTGCATTTGAGACCATGTGAGTAAGGGAAACATCTTAGCACAGCAGATTAGCAGGAAAGAGCCTGACTCCCTGACACTTCAGGCAGCCATAAGTTGGGCTACTCACACATGTATGTTTTATGAAATATAAACTCTCTTTTATTTTATTTAAGCCACTGTATTGCAGCCAAACCTGTGTGCTGAGCTGTTGCTTCCCGTAGCGCTTGTTTAGCCAGGCAAGGCCTAGGATGTCCAGTCACCTCTGACCTTCATTTAACTTGATGTGCCATGCAAATGACACATCCGCTAACGAGTTGGGAAGCTCTGTATTGGTTAAGACAGGGACCCCCCTGGAAGTGTCTGAGTAACAAAGTGATATGATAGGGATTGTGTTTTGCAAGAATTAATTTGAGTAATATATAGAAGATTAGCGTTGCCTCGGGCTAAGAGTGAGATTGCAGGGATTTACAGCAGAAAGGCGTGATGGAATTTTTTAGCGTGACAAAATGTTCTATATCTTGATTGTGGTTGTAGTTATATAAGTATACATATTTGTCAAAGTGAATACTTAAAATAGGTGATATTTATATTCACCTTAATAAAGTTGATTAAAGAAATTAATTTGGCTGTGTGTGTGCAAGAAAGATCAATGGGAGGAGACAAGAGATGGGGAGAGGAGAGACATTTATGGCTTCAATCAAAGCTTTAGATAATTTGGACTAGTTCTGGAAAATATTAGGAATGAAATTAGATAGACAAAAGAGTCATTTTGAAGGACAGAGTAACAGAATTTGGAGACAAATCGGGCCTGGAGATATGGATTCATAGGTAGGAGGCTCTGGCTTTTCTATGTAGGGCATCAGCTAAGCTTCGCCACAGTCTGATGAAGATGCTGTGTCACAAAACGGAGAGGGAGGAAGGTAGAGCGCTGCCACTTACTAGTTAAATAAATTTCCTCAACCTCTCTGAGTCTCTCTTATTCATTTGTAAAATGGGATTAATGGTGCCTACAGATTGCAAAAAAGTTATGAAGAGCAGAGAAAATACGTGTAACACACCTAGCACCCTGTGCCTGGCACCTAGTGGGCACTCATGAATGCATGAGATGAAGAATGATTGCAATAACATATTATAATAGAAAATAAATGAGCTTTCAAGATCATATCAGAGACTCTCCCACACATGTTTCTAGGAGGTGATGGATGTGAGGAAATAAGAACTCAGCTAACAGGAAAGACAAATCCACTTATAAATCACAGGACAGTGGTAGGAAGGGGGGTGGGTGAGGCAACATAGCAGTTGGCAGTATTTTTTAAAAGGAGGGTGGTTCCTTTTGCCAAGAAGATTCAGTGGTGTATTCATTTCTCTTTTCTTTATCTCCCTTGACGCATCCGCAGGAGTGGGAATTTAGACAAAAGGAAGCTCTTGTAGCATCCTGCTTAAGATTCTCCTCATAGAAGATTTGGTTCTCAGCCCACTTTCTGTCAGCCTTCCTGAGATCAGAAAGCAATGCATAAAAATTCTCAGGCTCAACAGTGAACTCTCCTGAGCTCCAGCCTGGAATTTACAGCTGCCTGTAGACATCTCCATCTGCATGTCCTACAGGCATGTCCAACTCAGTGTGTTCCAAACCAAATTAATTACCCTCCCACACACCGTTCCCCCTCCAGTCTTCTGTCTAGGTTAATGCCATTGCCAGTTCACCAGGTACAAAATCTAGAAATTTCAGTTCTTTGGCTTCTTGTCCCACAATCCCCAAGATCAATCTACTGCCAATTTTTGTGGATTCACCCTGTTGTAATCTGTCTTGTGCACTCTGTTTTTTGACTTCCATTGTCTTAGCGAGGATCTTTCTCTCTCTCCAGGACAACAGCAGCAGCAATCTAGCCAGTGCCCCTCCAAAGTCTCCAGCGTTTCACAACTCCGGAATGCCCCATACCTAGACTAGGTAAAGGATGGCCTACCCCGGGGAGTTGTGTAATGGGTGTAACTGTCTCCCCGCCCCCTGTTTCTCATTTGGTTAATTCAGTTGAATTTCTGAAAAACAAATCACTGCTCTTTCTGAAAATACTTCAATGACTTGCCATTGAATTTACAGAATGCAGTCTAAAAACCCTAATTTCACCCATTTCCTTTCACATCTCTTCAAGCATCCTATGCTCTGTCTAAACACATTGAAGCACAGACCCGGTCCCGTAAATAACATATACTTTTTAACCTCAGAGTAGGGCCGGCCCCGTGGCTTAGCGGTTAAGTGTGCACGCTCTGCTGCTGGCGGCCCGGGTTCAGATCCCGGGCGTGCACCAACGCACTGCTTCTCCAGCCATGCTGAGGCCAAGTCCCACATACAGCAACTAGAAGGATGTGCAGCTATGACGTACAACTATCTACTGGGGCTTAGGGGGGAAAAATAAATAAATAAAATTATAACCTCAGAGTAGTGGCTCATGGAATGTTCTCCATGAGTTAGCTAAGCTCCATTCTTCCTTCCTGACTCAGCTCGAAGATCATCTCCTCAGTGTAGCTGCCTTAATTCCACTCTCCTTCAACTCACATTCCTAAGCATGGCCCCACTCACCATGTATTCCTGTCTTAATTTAACTGTGGTTGGCATGAGTATTTCTCAACCAGATTTTACAGTGTTAAAGGACAGACACCACCACTTACTGCCATCTCTGAATCTCCAGAGCACTTTGAATTGACTATTAACCAGTCTAAAAGTAATCTTCTTAAATTTTTACTTTAAAAAATGGTGATTTTTACAAAGAAAGCTTTTAAAAATTCCCAAAGAAACAGTTAACAATTTTGTTTCCAATGTACCCAAACAGTGAACTCCCTCAGCTCTACCATATTAAATACACTTTTTTAACTCCCTTGCAGTTTTATTATTCCAGGTGCGCTGCTCCTATAAGGGGCCTTTGTAGACCATTGCTATAAATGTCATTTGTTCCCATTAAGTGTATATGTTTATAAGATGATTGTGTAAATTTATGTTGACTATACTAGAGAGTATTAAGTCAGGTAATATATCAAAATATTTGAAGTCTGAAAATGAGGAAATCAACTTTAATTTATAATTTGAGGATTTTTTTTACTGAGCTCAATACAATATATATTTGTTCTTTCTGTGACTCCAAGACACATCAAAAGAGAAGCAGCCAAGTTTGACCATTACCCAAATAATTCATATAATGCTCAAAGCTATCTCAATTACTTGGGCATTTTAGGTAAAATTATGGGGAGTTGGGGTGTTGAGGAAATTATAAAAAAGGATGCTCTTGGTTCTGATTGAGCAAGTGATTTTCTGATTGATTTGGTTCGGATTGAGCAGTTTTCATTTAAGTCTACGAAAGAGATGGAATCTGGCAGCTGATTGCAAATATTGTATTCCTTAGACTCATTTTCTTTTGAAAATTATTTTTTAAATGACTATGAAAACATTAAGATAAATTAACATAAATGGGCATATTTTTATATTATATCAAATACATTATCATTTAGCTCAAAATCAAACTTGAAAAGTAAGTGGGCATTTTTTTCTCTTTTCTCAGTGAAAATACACACTATTATAGATCAGTTCCAAAGTTTGAAAATTGTTATTATTACTTTCTTCAATCATTTCTTCTCATATTTTTCTTGCTAATCTTCTCAAGTGGTAAAGTGCTTATTATATATAAAAATCAGACACAGAGAAATTATTATTGTCTAGAAAATATTTATTGACACATTTTAATTTCTTTCCATTTTCTGAGAAATAAACATAATACACAAAATACAGTAAAATGCACTTTTCCCATTTCAAATAAATATATTTTACTCTTGTAAAAAATTTAATAATCTGTGTAATTCACCACAGTATCTTAATCAGTGAAACAAAGCAAAGAAAATCTCTAGTTAAATTGTTACCTATTTTAATGATTCTCACAGAGTTTTGCTGGAGAAAAGGAACACTATTATCTGTAGAATTATATTCAGGCTTGGAGACTGTCATTTATTTTTTGGAGAAGGCAAAGATAAGCTCCTTCCAAAAGTGTTTAGTGTCAAAAAGAGTCTTAGTTTGGGAGAAAGACAGCATCAAAGTCTTTGCTGAATGAATGAGGTTATGTGTAAGCCTTCTTGTTAATACTTCCTAAAGACCAGACTACATTCTGAATTATTATGATTCCTATGTATCACACTGGTAATTTTTCAAAATTAGTGGTTAAGTATTTAAATTAATAGTTACATATGTAATATAAACCCAGGACAGAATCTCAAACCTCTATTAACAGGAAAGGTTAAAAATAATGGTGCTATACAGGATAAATTTATCCTTTTCACAATTGTTATTCTTAACATTATAAGAACTGAAAACTACTGAATTATACAGACTTAACACAGACTCTTATATACACATAGATCCCTGATCAGTTAAAGGCAATGTGTTAGTTTGCTCTTGTAAGTAGTTAAGAATATTTTAGTAACCAGCAAAAATCACATTTAGGTAGTCACCAATTTTCAGAATTTTCTTATGTATAATATATCCACCCTCAAAAGAATATATCACCAAGTAATAAAAGTCATTAGTACTGTCGAACTTCCTATGTTAGCAGTTAATTCGTACTTTGTATACTAGCAAGCTTATGGAAGTAAATCAGACTTTACTGTAGCTCCAATCCCACCACAGCACGGCTTGTTTTCATGGATGCAGAAATGCTGGTCAAACTATGCAAAAGCATAAACCTCAAAGCATAACTGTGTATGCTTTGTATGTAAAAATCTTACATAGGCTATAAAGTGAGTATTAGATCTTTCCTCAGCATTACAAAGGGCATCAACTATCGTCTAGCTGGTGTCTTATAATATGGATCTTTTCCCTCTTCATTTTAAAGGATAGAAAATTATATGTTTAGGTATCCTTCTATGGCAACATTTTTATTTCCACACGTTTCTGAAACAGATAACTATGTGCTCAAAAATTCACAAGTCCAATAAAATAAATTTGTGGCTTCCCTCTTTGACATTCTCTATAATTCCTCCATCTCAAAGTGTGTATTAAAGCTGTTTGCCATGGAGGTGTGTTCAAAGATCCTTGACAGGCTTGGTTTCAGCAGTTCTACTGAGTGACATGACAGGTGTTGAGTGGTATCATTCTTCAAGGACATCATTTGGTCTGTCCCAGGCTCCCTTCTATCATAATAGAGAGCCCAGAGCAGAGTAATGGTGAGAATCATGGCCAGGATTTGTGTCACTCCAATGGAGATTCCCAGAAACCTTAGCACTTGCAGTTGTTTGGTTCCTCTCAAAAAGGAATACATTTTCTTCCCGCAACCCTGTAAAAAAAATAACACAGTCGATATTACTTTGGATGTGTTACAAAGGGTTAAAATAGTGAAAACAAAGGTCTGTATCAGTTAATGGGACTAAACTACTTGAATCATAAGGTTTAAGACAGTGACTCTCAACAGGGAATGCCCATGAGAAGCTAGAAGAGAGATAGACATGTACCTTTTTTTTTCTGAGGAAGATTCGCCCTGAGCTAACATCTGTTGCCAATCTTGCTCTTTTTGCTTGAGGAAGATTGTTGCTGAGCTAACATCTGTGACAATCTTCCTCTGTTTTCTATGTGGGATGCCACCACAGCATGGCTTGATGAGAGGTGTGTAGGTACACGACTGGGATCCAAGCCTGTGAATTCCAGGCCACGGAAGCGGAGCGTGCGAACCTATCCATTACGCCACAGAGCCAGCCCCAGATGTATACACTTTTTGAAAAGCCTGCCCAAGGTGATTCTGATGAGCCTACTCCTTTTTCTGTCTTTCTCACAACCCAGAATTGAGAACCACTGATAGTAAAACACAACATCTAGAGCAAGAGTTGGCAAACTTTTTTTGTCGAGGGCCAGATAGTAAACCTTTTAGGCTTTGTGAGCCATATGGTCTCTATTGCAATTACTCATCTCTGCCACTGTAACATGAAAGCAGCCATAGAAAATGTTAAATGAATGGATGTGACTATGTTCCAATGAAACTTCATGTACAAAAAAAGGCAGTAGGGGGGCTGGGCCAGTGGCTCAGCGGTTAAGTGCACACACACCGCTCGTCAAGCCATGCTGTGGCAGCATCCCATATAAAGTAGAGGAAGGTGGGCACAGATGTTAGCCCAGGGCCAATCTTCCTCAGCAAAAAGAGGAGGATTGGCATCAGATGTTAGCTCAGGGCTGATCTTCCTCAACAAAAAAAAAAGGCAGTTGGCCAGATTTGGGGCACAGGCCCTATAGATTGCTGACCCCTGATACAGACTGATCCAAAATTTTCAAAAATAATGTTTTATTATAATATTATTATATGTATTCACTGTTGGATTATAGGTCATTTGGTCAGAGACTTTTCCCCAAGGATTAGGAATGTTTCCCTAGTCTGCTGCTGAAACATGCTGGTGGGTGGAAATCAACCTATTCCCTTCCCCCAACTGCCCCCACCCCCGCCCCCCGACATGCACACACACCTCTGTCCACTGCCTGTAGCAGAAATACACACGGGGGAATTGTTCGCATGACACCAACTTCTAGTTTACCAGGTAAGGATTTGAAAGGTATCTTTAGCTCCCCTACAGGCTGGAGATATCTAATCTAAAAAAATTATCGAGGTTTTTGTTTATGTTTAGGTTTAAGCACAAAAGGCTAAGGAGTGCCTATGGCAGATACGGAAGAGAATTCTGAAAGAAGAAAAGAGGAGGAAAAAAAACTAAGAGAAAGAGAAGCCATGACCAAGGAAAATGGGGGGGGTGGGGGGGTGGGGTTGGGGAGAGGGAGAAAAGGGGGTAGAAAGTATCTAACAATTGTCATGTTATCTCTGAGGTGGCCAAAGCATAGGCTACCTGCCATGTCTCTAGTGAACCCAGAGCACAGAAACAATAATTCATTCTTCTAAAGGGATGCTGATTCTAAATTAAGGGGAAAACCTAGAAAGAATTTTATACTATAACAAATTTCAAGAATGTTGACGATTCTGAGATTTTACTCTACTTAGAAACTAACAATAAGCCTGCCACAGTTTCATGGATGCTGGCAGAGACAGAGACAAAGGACTTGATTACTCACAGCAATAGAAATAGCCAGAGTATGTGCCAGTTCCTCAAGTCCCTAGGGCAACAGGAAAAAGGCCAGATGATGCCTGCGCACACAGTGGGTTGTATTCTGGGAGGGGAACCCCAAGTTTAGGGAACCCTGATCTTTTAAAATGAGCAGTAAGCATACCTGTGTTTTGCATTGGAGACAGATATTATCTTTACTATACTAGACAGTAAATAAACCTGTCCTTTTCTCTGAAGGGAGATACTATCTCTAACTTCAAGGCTGTATTCTATGAAAACACTCTTGAAAATATCATCTAGAATGAAGGCAGCCAGTGCCTTTGCTCGCAGGACATACAGAAATGCACAAGACCCATGGGAAATTATCTCCCAACAACAAGAACTTGACTTTTCAAAGCTTTTATTTTGAGTTTGAGGGAAGTGCTTTGACTCAGTCCTTGCCCTATCAAGGCAGCTATTTGAATAAAAAGAAACTGATAACTACTTAAATAACTGCCTCCTTGTTTTTTTCTCCAGATTCCACAAAGAACTCAAACTAAATCAAGGAAAGCAAGATGACTGAATCAGTTGTTAATTTGTACATTATATTGGGGGGGAGGAATGAATAATACATAATTCCTAGATTTACAAAGACATTGATCAGTAACTGTACCCTAGTAAGGCATTATTCTCAAAAAATTTAAAAAATCATATAAAACTAGCCATAGACAATTTCAATAACTACCTTTTCATGGTAGTTTTGCACCATGTAATGCAAATTAACAGTAAAAGGTGCTAACCTTAGGTTCATCGATTTCACCAAAAGTGAATTAAAATATTTATAATGTAATACTACTTAACATTGGTTTAATAAAATCATTTCTATGGCCATCTTACCTATTTAATACATACACGAATATGCACACACACACACACACACACACACACACACACACACACACACTGTGGGAAACCAAAATAGGTGTCACAAAGACAATTCACCAAAGTTCAAATACTTTTCAAAGAGTTCCACTCAGGTAGTCTATCAGAGCCCATTTACTCTTACATTTATGTGTAATTCTAACAAGCATCCTTATATGACACAGTATAGAATAATGGTTAATTAAGATCACAAACCACAGAGCCAGAATTCTGAATTTCAAATCCCTACTCTGCTACTTATAAGCTATGTGACTTTGGGCAAGTTAGTTAATATCTCTCTGTGCTTCAGTTTTCTTGTCTGAAACATAGATAATAACAGTGCCTACCTGTTTGGGATATTGGGAGAATTAAATGAACTAACACATTTAAACACTTACAATGGGATCTAGTACATGGTAAGAGCTCAGTAGGTGTCAGCTCTTATCTGGTCTGTCAGCCCATAGAAGATTAGAAAGCTCAAATTAAAATAGATGGAAAACCCAAGAAAACCAGGTATTAATGGACAATAGGAGGTACAACACTTTTTAAGAGTATGAAAACAGCAAAAGCACAGCATTGTCCCATCACTGAGTATTGATGCAACATCCCTTGCCCACAAGAGCCAAGGTGGTCGTTACCGTTTTTCAGGACAGTGAAGTAACTATCCACAATGATTATTCGCCACTGAGACATTAGATCCCTAGCCTCCTCATTAAGCAGAGAAATATTCAACATAGTTTTGAGAAGAGACACATCAAAAATAGTTAAATTAAAAAGGTTTAGCTTCAGACATTTGGAAAATTAAGTTATATGGACATCATTTAACATCATTGCCAAGTAATGCAGCACTAGATCATCATATCTATCTTTGAAGAAATTGATACAAAATGGCTTTGGATTATGTCAGTTGATTCCTTACCTATGTTTTCAGTACTTGTTACAAAGATGGATCTTTAATGAATAAAAGAAAGAATTAGCATGGGCATATCAATATTTTGGTAATAATAATTGCAATAAATTTCAGAATTAATGGTAAATCATTCAAGAAATATGTTGAAGATTCAACACTCTGAAATGCTATAAGCCAATTATCATTTCATTTTTACCTTTTTAGTAGTCTTTGGTGCTTAAATTTTACCTATATAGTCCTTTCTATTGGTATAAGATCTCCCATCCCTTTAGACTAATTCATTCTAAGCTGAAAAACTGTGCAGGAAAGTTAATATTTCTTTTTTAAATCTGTGAATAAGAGATTGATAACTAAGCTACAGTCTATTGTGTTTCATATTTTGGCACTGGAATCACATTTATAAAATAGGTACAGTGAATTATATCATCTAGGATGGTTTGGGAATGTAATATACTAGTTAACATTGAATGTTCTAGAGTGGGAGGCGACCTTGGAAGTCAATGAATTCAACTTTTTATCTTTGAAAAATATGGCTAAAAAGCACTTCTAGAGTGACATCAGCAAAACTGGCAGAGATAAGACCTCTGAATAGTCTCTCCTCCATATAAACAATGAAACACTAGCAAAAATTGTCAGAATCAGCATTTTTAGAACTCTGGAAATTAACCAAAGGCTTGCAGCAACCTGAGGAGAATGTATTTAAGAAAAGCACCTGAATCTCAGTAAGAAGGGCAAGCTTTGTGGAATTTTTGTGTGTGTGTGAGGAAGATCAGCCCTGAGCTAACATCTGATGCCAATCCTCCTCTTTTTTTTTTTTTTTTTTTTGCAGCATGGCTTGACAAGCAGTACATTGGTGCTTCACCGGGATCCGAACCTGCAAACCCCAGGCCACCAAAGCGGAGCATGTGTACTTAAACACTTGTGCCACCAGGCTGGCCATGCTTTGTGGAATTTTCATTTACACTATTCCCATCCTTTCTCCCCAGTTCTGCAGTAGCCTTGAAAATCAACAACCCACAGTCATGGTGAAAATCGGCAGGCTGGCAGCTACCGGAGGCAACAGAATAGGGTTGGAGCTACTTCAAAACCCCATTCCCAGAGAATTGTCATTATTTGTCCCATTTGGTGGTTCCTTGGAAGACCTCACTTGCAAGGCTGTTTTTCTTTGGTCTGACTTGAAGCTCAACCATGGAAACAGCATTTTCCCCTGGAGGAGTTTGTCAAAAGCAATCAGAGGTAACTTTTGAAAACTGAGGCTGCCTGAAGTAGTGTATAACGGTTGCACACAATGGGCTAGTCAAAAAGCTTAAAAGGAAAAGCAGGAGGATGTGAAGTCCATAGTGGGTTTGGCAAAACTCTGATGCATTTGTGGAGATCTAGAAAGTTACACACACAAGTAGGGCTGTGCTCCTGCCCAGGGCTATGCACATGCTCAGGGAAGACCTAAAAAGGCTCTAAGATCTCACCTCTGGCTAACTTTGAGGCTCTGTACACCCTTGGCAAAGGCTGGGAGACTTATTGGTTCCAGGCATTTAAGGAAATCTCTGTTCATTTATTAGCTAACTGAGCAGAGACTTTAGTGGCCAAATAAAGAAAACTGACTTTGCAGAATTAGTTCAGAAAAGTCACTAATGAACAAACAACGACAAACTGAAGGGAGGGGAGAGATTCTGATTTCTAGAATCACCAGTTATATTACTTAAAACGTCCAGTTCTCAACAACAACAAAAACTAACAGATGTGCAAAGAAACAAGAAAGTATGGCTCATATATACACAAAAAGAGCCATCAAAGAAAACGCACTTCTAATGAGAGGAACTCCTTGTCTCACTAGACAGCTTTGTCCACACTTAAACAACACTAAATCTTAATAAGCATTTCCTTGGAACCTGTCTTCTTAATAAGGTGCATTGGTCCTAGCTCTGCTCTCAGACAAGCTCTTTTCCATAAG